ACTCTAACAACGCCAAAATGGCTCCGAAGCCGCTGAAACCTCAGAGAAAGGCAAAGGGTCAACGTGCTCACCTTGCTTGGATAAAGCGGCGAAGTCAAACATGACAAACGGGCTCCGGTGCCAACTAGTGCACCCTCTTGCTCGGTCTGGAGGGGACTAACAGGATGCGGAACGCTCAAACGCAAACATGGTGAATCCTTTTGGCGCTAAAGGAAGAGGTCTTGGCTCGGGCCCTTTGGGCAACGGCATGATGGATCAACAGGTGTTCAAACGCTCATGCCATCTCATGCCCAACTTTCACACAATCATCCCAAGTAAAGGTCGAAAAGAGATTTCTGAAAATACCACCCAGTCCTTTCTTCTTCAGACGCTCTGACGGCCTGCTAAGCATGCTACTGGACATGGAACACTTGTGCCTCTTCAGCTCAAGGGGCTCAACACAACAAACAGCCATTTGGTTGCTCCGGGGATTGAAGAAAGCCATTCGGTTGCACAGCCCCGTTCCGTGGCGCGCTGTGGTTCCACACCTTCACGCGGCACCGACATCACCGTGAAGCCACGAGCTCCGAGCTGGCGCCGTGAGGTGCACGCGCGGCGCCGTCCGTGTAAGTGCGGTGCACGCGACCATGGCGTCATCCCAACGTGCGCAACGCAACGCACGCTACGCTGGTCTCAGCATTTCGGCCATGATCTGCAACTTGATGTTTGGAGGTAGGTGCAGGCCTTTCTGATGTTCCTGTTGTGACTGTATCTTTTTGTTTTGATGACCTTTGGCCTGCAAGGAAGGAGGGGTGGTAGCCTCAAGTGTGTGGGTGAAAACTATGTGTTGTGAGGATTTCACTTATGAATGCTGTCAGTCTTCTTGTCATGTTTAAGCCAACTTGTGAGGTCAGCTGCGGACGCATCGGACACCGCGCTGAACTCATGGAGCCGTCGCGACCGGACTCGCCACATCGGCTGAAAAAAGCTGCGCCGGAGAGCAAAGGGTGGTCAAAACTGGTGGCCAATGAACCCAGTATTGAACACTTAGAAACAACCAAGCTGCCCTTGGTTGGCAAAACCTACAGCTTTGTACAACTCTTTGATGAAAGCACCCCAAAATGATCCCCGGACGGCACCTTTTGGACTGGATCTGGGGCTGTTGGTGAGCTTTCGTTATTGAATGTTGCTAATATATGATTGATTATCTTACGGGTGCATCAATGTTCTTTTAGGTTGACATGTTGGCTCTAGCGGCAGGCCCCCCAAATCAAATGGATTGCCAAAAAATTGCCAATACATGTTCCAAAGGCGTTAGTTTGGAGTTCACGGAAAAATATGTCAGGCTATTCTGTTGACATTGTGTCCAACAAATCGTCGCACCCTGAATGACTTATTCCATCATATTCCATCACATTCCATCACTGATTGTTTGCAAGGAAGCGCAATCCAATGTACTAACCCTAGGGATCCAAGTACCTTCTCAGAAGGTGTTTGGGGTGGCTGTGGAGGGTCCAAGTGCCTTCTGAGAAGGTACTTGGATCCCTAGGGTAACATCCTCCTGTTACAATTTCTCAGTGGTGATCCTTGGGCAACAATATGACCCCAGCCAGAATACACAAAATTACTGAGCATTATTGTACTGCGGCCACTCCGGAATGACGTGTCCCGTTCTTCCCAAGGCAACCCATGTTGGGCGGCCGGGCCAGCGGCGGCCACCCTCAGACGTCTGGGCAAAGTCCCGCTCTGAAAGGTCGGAAGATCTGAGGAGCACTGGTATGTCAATGTCTGTGAGTCACTCAAGCCTGCCTCCAAAAAATCATTATATAACAAATACACACAACATACATCGAGTATGTCTATTCTATCATGTTGATACATGTTGTAGCTACAATGTTACAATTGAGCGTTGTTTCCGTCTGGTGTGTGGAGCCCTGATGGACCTCATCATTCTCATCCTCCAAGAGGGCTTATATATATATATAAGAGAGAGAGAGAGAGAGAGAGAGTTGAGATTCCTGACTCACCAACGCAGACTCTGTAGACCTTAAAGTTCTGCCGAATGATTTACAGTTGCTTCTACCACCGACTATGCTTCGAACTGGAGGCCGGCGAACTGGGTCCAACTCGAAGTCTTCCTTCAATGAGTCTGACTACTCGATTCGGCCTCCCACCCGTAGGATTCCCTGAGATCCCGGCGCCATCACCGGCGGAATCTGACGGCACCAGGCGGCGCGGGACGCGGGGTGCTGCGGCGCCGACCCCGCCGCTCGGCGCCTCAGGGACGCGACGTTCCGCCATATGGGCGATCAGTTCAGTGAATCTGAGACCTCGTCTGCAACGATTGCACCAGAAAAATATTTAAAAAAACACCAAAGAGAGGGTTGATGAGACTGTTGATGTGATGAGTAGTCAAGAGGAGTCTGATTTTAACATGCGATGGACATCTCAGAACGATTTCTTCAAGTTTCGACTTCAGGGTCGAAGTCTCTCAAATGGTAAAGCCATGTAAGGCTGCGCAAGCTACCCACATTTGGGCTGCTCTAGCTATTGCACGCCATTTCTGGTCCCAGTGTTCACTCCAGCACATTAGGGAACAGTGACAGGCCACAATGGAAGCAAATTGCGCACTTTGGCACTTTGCTAGGGCACTCTCTCTCCAAACATGAGGAGATGTGTGGCCATGGTGGTGATGTTTGTGTATGTTTTGTCTTCACTTAAATGACCCAATCTCGAGGGCATCTGAAGACCAAACGACGAAACGTGCTTCTTCTGTTTCTTCACGTTTTTCCATTCATTTGCTTCCCACCAAGCCATGGGAGCCGGACTGTCAAACACTGGCTGTGTTGTGTCGATGTCTCCGCGATTCGAGCCTGATACTGTAGTTCAAGTGGCCCCAAGACCCACGAGATTTCGCCAAATAGATCTATCCCAAACACTCCATGTATGCCGCAGGGTTGGTTGTGGGGGTCAATTGATCGGCATATTATGGCAGTCCCATGGGGTGTCTGGGTAGATCTACCATGACCGTGGTGTGTCTGGGGTAGATCCCAAACACCGACGAGGTCTGCCTCCCGAGCTCTGACCTGGTGGCGACGTGGAGGGCGGTGGCGACGAACGGCTGGAGATCCACACGCGGACCGGCAATGGTGCATTCACCATAATGCCAACCTAGGATTGAGTATGATTCAGTATACCCTCCCCCTATGATTCAAGCCCAGCATAATGCCTCCCCCCAAATACTAAATCTAATGAAAAACGACTTCCTGGTGGAGGTGGTGAATCTCCTTAATCCCATGATGAACCCTTTATATATACCTTCACCATCACCTCCCTATGTGACTCAGTCAACTTCGGCCGCCTTGGCTGCCCGGCCCCGTTCCACCATTCTCGACCCGGAAGGCCACCGAGACCAGCGGGTCTCGGTGCGAGACCAGCCCTGGCAAACGTGGAAAGGGCAGTCTGGGCACGTACATACGAAAGTTGATGGTGCGGTCTGTAGCGTCTCTGAACGAGAAAGGAGATGCATGAAACATCAACAAAGCTTGGATGTGGTGTCTGCAGGCTCGCTGAAAATACAACAATAAGGGACCTGAGCAATCCTTGGCAGTTGCCAGCTGCGCTGCAAGTTCCAAAAGAGGAGGTACAAGTGCAGCTAACCCAAACATGATTCTTCCACAAATTCCAACAGGACTTCAGCACCCACAGTGATTGACATCATAGCATCACATAGATTCAAACAATCCGCCAATAAGAAGGCCCAAACCTAAGCTGTCACTTAGCCAGCAAAATCGCCCCCCAAGATCGCTTCGCAAGATCCTGGACCTTGAACTTGGAGTCACACCAAGCTACACTCTGCTTCTCAATGCAAGACTTTGGATGGTGTTGCTCAGTCTTGCATTCCCTATGTTGCGTCAAGCCACCGGGTGCAAAACAACCATGCAGGGGTTCAAGCAAGGTCTCGCACACCTAAATACTCCCGCAAACAGACTTGCCGCAACAGTTGCAGCAACTTACACAATGGGCCAAGTGGCTTGACAAAACCAAGTCTTTCAGGTGCTCGTCTAGTGACATCGGGGACCGTATGGGTAATTCTATCCTCACCAGGGCGAACCCTTAAACGCCCCTGTGAAAGGGAAGGTCAATGAACATCCCGATTTCAAAAAAAAATGCTGATTGGAGAAGATGGTTCGCCCCTGCCTGGCACCAGCATCATGGCGGCTGTCTCGTTTTGAGCACCGCGTGCTGCAGCAGTCTGTATAACCAAAGGAAATAGCAACATGCGCCATACCATGAAGAGGCCCCAAAACATGTCAACAACCGAGAACCTTTTTCATCCCCGTCTGTCTCCTCCTGGCCAAAACGATATAAACCGATGCCTCACACTTGAAGTTTCGACCAATGAAAAATTGGAGTGACCTGGAGGTACAGCTAGGAATGGGCATGAATCCCCAAATGATCGCACGAAACCATTTGGGCATCCACATTGCTCACTCCTCCTGATGCATGGTCCTCTATCTTGAAAGGGGCAACTGGTTGTGTAGCTAGTTCTTGCCTGGTCTAGCCAAACCGCAGCTTTTCGGTGATTTACTACCAGCCAAAGTCCTAGCCCATTTGTCCCGCTCCCAAGTTTTAACTCCAACTGGTGACTGCTGGCCAGCCGCCTGTCTTAAGCCTGTCTGGCCAATTGCCATGACAGGTCGGGTGAAACAAATCGCCTATGGCATGTTCCGTTGCCCTCATCAATCATAAAGGTTTAACCAATTCTACAGTAGACGTCCTTCACTTCCTGCATGTCAAACTGCTAATTGAAGTAAACTGTTCAGAAAGCTTCCAGCATATTTCACTTAATTACTTATATTATATATGCTGAATATGGATATCATATGTATATATGCAATGTACTATGCAATGTATATTGTATATAGGGAAGAAATGTGAGGGGTTCCTATGAGGTGAATGCACAAGAAACATGGTTTTCATGGTCATTTCTACACATGGCTGTGAAGCACATGGTTATTGCACTCGAAATCCTTTGCCTTCCATGCATGTGTTTGGCCCACACCAAAGTCACCTTCGGTGCAGCCTTCCAAACACATGTAACCCATGGACCCATTGACCCGAACTGTACCGTATGGCTGTGCCCGGCCGTGCGCGTCGAGGATCACGCGCTGATGCCAATCTGCGTGGCAAAGGCGAGCCTGCGACGTCCGGAGCTTCCAAGGGCCCGGGAGAACAACGAAAACAACACTGGTTCTACATGGCAATGGATGGATGATACACTGATGTACTTTTGACAATTTGACTCATGGAACATCGCATAAAGTCACTATCTATATCTATCCATGTATGTCTATCTGTCTATCTATCTATCTATGCATGTGTAATATACATAATTGTAGTTATATATATATATGTGGCCCCGCTCAATCCTTCTTCTGAGTGCTGATCATTGTCGTTGAGTTTGACAAGCTCATTCCCCATGAAACGAAGGAAGCTTGCTGGTGGCACCAAGAGAGAAGCCCCGTGCCGAACAGAACAAACTCAAATCCTTCTTCTCTTTCTATGTGCCTCAGCAATCACATATACAAAGGACGGACCGGCCAAAAAGAAAAAAACACAGCACAAACATGATCCCTGAGGCTTCGAGCCTACCCTTCCTAATACCCTGGTTGCACCGAAGATCGTTGGTGGTACTGGAGTTCTTGCACCAATCTAAACGATCAAGATGAAGCTAACCTGGTTGAATGAAAATGCTGCTAAAACGGAAACGAGGAGCAAGGAGCCGCAAAAAATGCCTCAGTCAATCGGCGAGACGGAGGTATACCCCACAAACATCGCTGATTCACGTAAGAATAAGAAAGTTAAAAAAAGGATACAACAACTACAAATCCATCCCGCAAAACACCTTCTGTCACTTTAAGCACTTGGATTGGGATCTCTTTCTTGGGTCACTCTCACCACTAGTAACTTTGGGGGAGGGTATGGGGAGGATCATGATGTGCCATGGATGTTTGCCTGGCCCACCAGAGCAAAAACACATCAGAAAACATCACATCAACACCAACACCCCATCTTCCCTTTCGTCGCCAATCCAACCCCGTCCGATCGCCCTGGGCCATTCTTCCGAAAAACGGCCCTTAAAACCGAGAAGCCTGTCACCATGATGGCGCTCATCATCATGCCTCCAAACTCCAAACATTTGTTTCAAGAAAGAACTTGATTCCAGGGCCAACTTGGGTGAACCTACCATGAAACCAGTCTTTCCATGCGAAGAACCACTACGTCGGTGACTGGGGGATGTGTAGGACAGTGTACACCACCTCCGGGCGAATCCGAAGCTTCGCGGAATTCTCCTGCGACTTCCCGTCGCTCCAGGACGCTACAGCTTTCTGGGCCATACATCATCGCCAAGTTGGCCTTGGTTCGAAGGCGAACGAAAGGCATTGATTCTTGGTTCCAAAAGGGCAAGTTGGTTTCACGGCCATTTCTGGGAGTGGAAGATGGAGAGGACGAGGTTTAGCGGTCTGCTAAAGGTCTTTTTCCATCCCCAGGAGCTTATATAGCACAACCAAGTACAACTGGCATCTGAAATTGCCCAAATCAAATCCAACTTGCGTACCGAACACACCACCGATGCACCGGTCTACGGCACTCAAGATCACTAAACGGGGACTGGACTGACACCGTCTGGCAAATACCAAGGAAAACGATCCCAGGTCACACTCACGGTCTGGTTTTCCAACGTTTTACAACCAACGTCGGGCCAACACCGAGCGTCTGCCAGGCCGTTGCTGATCGCAAAGAGCCCACAAAGCAGCAAGCGTCCCAGGTCCGAACCCCAAAGCCTCGATCGGAAAATGGTGCGATTCAATTGGTGCGATTCAACGTACTTCCCGACCAACCCAAACGTACATGGATACCTTGGTGTCTTCGATACCTTGGCCGTGAAGATTAGGCGCAAAAGGTGCGGAATTCAGGGGTCGCAAGGAATTCTGAGTGGAGCACATTCCGAACGAAGCATATTATATCCATGATGCTTAAGGCATCTTAAGGCTAAGGTGGATATTAACTAAATGACGATGCATTCCTTATACTGTAATGACGATGCATTCCTCATACTGTAATAGTGTCTGCCATAGTTCATTTCTCACAATAATGAAGGCATTCCCCAAACCCCCGGTAAACATCATCCAATGATCCTCATGTGGCTTACTCCTGTTGTATAGGACGGTTGTTCAGTTTCGGTTGTTTAGTTACAAAAAAATACAAAAATGTATAAAAATGTATAACACACGTGTAGTAACCCAGAAACGGTGAGGCTTCCGGCAAGCGCTGGCCCAGCATGAAAAGTGGGATGAACGCGAAGCGCCTCAGGCGGCAAACGCCATGGTCGTTGTGGCCTGCGAAAAAGCTGATCATCTAGTTGGATATTTGTTGTCACAACGACTGGTTGCTGGGTTTGTGGCCGGACCTTGAAACATGAAGATGGGATTATGACACAGGGCATAGGGCATAGGACGGGGTCCCGTTCACTGGGGACAAATGCCCCCCGCGTGAAAGGGTAAAATGGGTCACGCGATACCCCCTGGGGACATATGAAAATGAGCAATGCCTCTTCAAGCCACTCGCTACAGTGGGTTTCCATTTGATGTGAGGCCATTGTAACTCAAAGGAGCAAACATGTCGTTGGTTGGACAATGGTATATATCAGGCCACTTGAAGGCAGGATTCTCTTGATGGCATCTGGTCTCCGTTTCTTCCAGGCGTCGTGCCTAGCATCCTGTTAGCACCTTCACCAAAGAATAGGCACTGCACTCAATCACAAGCCTGGATTCCATGGAGATAACATGAACCCCAACCGACAAAGCTATTACGGGAACTCTTAGACTCTTAGACATGATCAAACAAGAACCACACAATGATAGATTTTTGGAAGGTTACTGGGTCATTGTTGCTTACTGTCAGCTCAGGCCCCTTCGTGCTAAGGTACATTTCAGAGGCAACTCCAGAGCCATGGTTCAACCTGTTCTTGTCGACATGTTCCAACAAGACTTCCCTCCGGAAAACTAACAAAGTGATACATAGCTATGTGGGGCGGGCATGACTGAATGGGCAACGCCACCATGGCGGATATGCTGCTGGAAGGGCATCCATTGCTTAGTCAAGAGAACGGCGCCATCGACTCTAATTGTGCTACAGTATATATGCAATATACAATAGACACTACAATAGACTACCACAACGCACTGTATATGCACCATTCCATCTGCGCGTAAAGAAAACTACGCTCACCATCACCAACCCACTGACCGTAGCTAGACCTTGGTCAACGTCCTCTTCACTCACCACTCCTAAAACACACACACACATCAGCCTTGCTCAAAACCCTTCTTCGGAGGGAAAGATTGGAAGGAGCTGCCTACACATGTTAGTTCTCAACTATGCAATTCCTCCTGTTCACTCTGAAAACATCGGGCAAGCTTTTGGACTCGCACCCTTTTGGATCCTCAGTCTCCCTCCCCCACTCCATGCTTTCGCCAGGGGTAGACCAGACTCGAGGACCTACTTTGAGCTCCACCGGACCCAGCAAGCGCAGCTAGGCCACATGAGCACCAGGACCCACAGCCGCTTGGGTCCGATCCTCCGTCCGGCCGGGCCAGCCATGGTGCGGCCCAACACGTCGCCCACCTGCACGGGAGCCGTCCGAGGCGTAGCCGACTGGGCTTCCAGTGCCACCGTTCTCTGATGTTGATGGAAAACCTCCAGTGCCAGCGATTTTTGTTGGGAGACCCTTTTGTATATATAGTTGTTTTTGCTGACGGCGTCATTAGTGACCCCTGCGTTCCGGACCATTTTTACTATCTCCAAGGACCATTTTAGCGTGGGGGTGGGTGGGTGGGGGGGCTAAATCCGTCTTGTTGTGGCTCCTGGCCGTACTACTAGTAGCAAGGACGCTACTAGGACCTCCTGACCGTACCACTAGGAGCAAGGACGCTACTAGGGGCTCCTGGCCGTACTAGTAGGAGCAAGGACGCTACTACGACCGCCACTAGAGGCTCCTGGCCGTACTACTACTTTGTCCATGTGGAATTGCATTGCGAGTTTCAGAATAGTGGCTTCAGGGATGCCTGAGCTTTTTCGGCTTCAGGATGCGGGACCTCACAGCTCGTGAGGTGTTGTCGTTGTGTTTAGTAGTTCTGTTGCGGTTGGTTAGGGTACCTTGTCCGGATCCTCGGTTGAAGCGGTGGTTCGAAGTGGACGTTGATTACGTGGATTCTTTGATTTCTCTGGCAACCAGACACACGGGACCTCTTGACAGTTTTGTGTTGGACACGGTTCTGGACCCGGATCGTTGGACGTTATCTTTCGAGGTTCTAGGCACTTGTCACGATGTGTTATACTCTTCGTGGACCGCGGTGTATAGCAGTTTGTTACATTCTAATTGTTCTGGTCATCGTAAAAGACGAGGGGGGTCTAAACTGACCCACTTGCGCGTCGTATTTCCAATGCGTTGGAGCATTTTCGCAGGGCCTGTAGTGGTGAAAACCATACGAAAATAACGTCATGAAAGCATGAATGAAACACAAAACCATGCGTTTTCCCATGGATTCTTGGTTTTCATGCATGATGGGAATTGCTCAAAACCACAGGGTCCTTAACAACGCCGGCACCTTGTTTTTTTGGGCCATACACTGGGATGGAAAACCGCCCATGGTTTTTGAGAGTCTTGACCGAAGAAACATGAAAAAACAATTGTTTTAGGGGGTTCACACTTTGAATCAAATTGACTTTGCTCACTAACACGGAAGTGGATTGCATGGTCCCTTGGAAAACTACTTTTCCTCTACAAAGTTGTCCACTTCCATGTTAGTATATGTTAGTGAGTCGGAGTGTGACATCTTTAGATCCAGCCAAGTGTTGTTTGTTTTTGGCACGCGTCTTTAGATTGGTAGGATCTTGAAGGTCGCTAAGCCGTCGCTACGAGTCATCAAACGAAATTGAAATTCGATTTGGGCGCTTCAACTCAACAAACACAAATACTTTGGGTGCCTCCAATCATCACGATTACACTTCTTGAAATAATCTTGGAGAACCTCCTGTTTGTAGATGTTTGTAGAGGAAAATGGTCGTCCCTTCCATGCTGATTTCAGGGAGTGTAGCATCGTTAGCGGATAAGGTCCTAGCATGTTGACCAAGACTTCATGCAAGTGAGTATGAGACTCATACAGCATGAGAGTAGATGGCACAATCCCCAAAAGGTGGCTTTATATTGACCCCTTGTGCAAAAGACATCTTGGGGTGCCAGTGCCATCTACTCTCAATCCACTGTAAGTGAGTATGAGTAGGACAACCCTCTAAAAATAGAAATAACAAGGCCACCGAGGCCGCACCCCTCGCAGCCGGCCGCGTGGGTGTCAGGCCCTGGAAGTCAGCCCAGCAGTAAACGACTCCCGCTTCGCGCAGCGCACGATCCCGTGTTCGAGTTGCAGAACATACCCTGTTGTTCTACCAACCACCCGAGCAGCTCGCAACTACTCTAACATCCTGGAAGAGGGTCAAATATGTCAAATTCATTCAAATTCCTGAAACAATTTTGCAGCTCTGGGGTTGAGGTGCTGATGGAGGCGCGAAGCAACTTCAAACTGCTCCTGTACTAGTAGGCGCCATGGATATTCCTCGGGGGCCTTCTGGTTGCGATATCAAGGCACGACCGTTGGCACCTGAGAAACAGCACAAACTTGAGCCTTTCCGGAGGCACAAAACAAACGAGCTGAGATGTCCATGAGCTGGCAGCAAACTGGGGCGTTCACCAATTGACGACGCACCAAACAGAGAAGCTCTTGCGAACACGGTTGATGACAAGGTGCGAAAACCCTTGGCTGACACTACTTTGGCATCGTAGTCTGTCGTAGTCTGTCTGACTGCCACGTGCTTCCGTGGTCTGTCCTTGGAGTGCTTTTTTGCCTGAGAGTTGTCACTATCAGCAGGTGTGCCAAATAACTATAGATATCTATAGATCCAAGCGAGCTCCTGGGGCCGCCTGAGCTCAGTGTGGGCCAAGAGCTTCGGTCTGCCTTACAGAGATTGAAATCATGGGCAGGATGCAATATTGCTTGTCCCGGACGGCCCATTTGTTCTCGTCTCTGCCATTGGTTGCGGTGAACGCTTGCTGACCTGGTCACGTGGATCGAAAGTATGGTGCCAATGGCCTTGGTCTCCTTGGTCTTAGCTACCAATGCAACTTAGTTATACCATTTGAACATCAATTGGACACTTCAACAACCTTTAAGTACACCACTTGTAGCATATCTCTGATCCGGCGATGTTAACACGAATTTCAGTCTATGACACTCTATGTATCTCTATGTGTTACCACCCACCAGCTACAGAATCATTAGCTGTCAGCACCGTCAGCATCCCTCCAGCACCCTCTCTAGCTCCGTCCGCAGACAGCTGCTCTGGCGCTCCCCCAGCTCCGGCGCCCCCAAGGTCCCAGAAACGCCGGCGCCTGAAAGCAACCGATGAGGATATTCCCGTACATCTGCTTGTTCTGTCTAAAGCTGGAGCCTGCCTGACAGTCAGAGCTTTCTTGAGCCGCATTTTTGTGGTGGATTTGTGTGGAGAAGTCAGTGGAGAAATGCTCACCATTGTCGTCTTCATGTTCATGAAGAAGATCCCGCCAGATCCGCCCACCTACGAATGCTCGCTGTTCATCCCTCCCTCAAGTGTGGACCGAACCCACCCGTTCGCGCCAGTCGAATGCATGTATATAAAGGCCAGTAGACCAGTAGACCAAACTGCCAGACCCCCCCATGTACTCAACTACCTAAAAGACTTCTTAGGCTGCTTTGGACAAGCATCACCCTGCATTCGATGTAAAAAACACATTGAAACATCCCTCTACCCCAAATGCAACCAAGCGGCCGGTGGCTCCCAGTGCACTATCACGCCGGGGAAAATGGCCATGGTGACCATGAAGACACCCCAAACATTCAGCGCCTGCAACGGCTCCAAAGTGCCCAGATGCCCCACAGGTGACCGTGAGGTAGTGGAACATGCTTGGCAATTTGATGCACACAATCAACTCAAACAAATCAATGGGTCTATCAGGCACCTTCTGAAGACCATGGACCCAAGCGTGAGGAATCAACACCCGGATGGGCCAGTTCTTGAGTGCAAGACATGCGACTTTTCACTGCAAAAAGAACCATCTCGTGAGGCGTATTGAAACCCTACGAGGTGAGAGTAAAGCACTGCAACCTGGCATCCAAGACGCAACTCCTACAAGTGACCCGTGGGTGAATTAAACCACAACGTCCCTGGTCCAAGAGAAAATATCTATTTGGGTGTTTCCCATGACCACATATTGCCAGTAACAGTGCACTATGATTGTTAGTCAAGGCCTGTCTCTAGAATATTCCAAAGTCGTGATATATAGCCTTTTGCTGGTTAAGACACGATACAGTTACTGGCGGAGTGGGACACACCCCCGTTCTTCTTCGTCCCCAAGTCCGCCATGTGGTCATCCTCAGTGCCCCCCCTCGGTCATCGTCCGACCACGTCAGCCTGTGGCCAAACCTCTAGGATGATCGGCGACAGGCGCTTGCAGATCTGACCGAAGGCCGATGTGGCATCCTGAGTCCCAAATAGGCCAAATGACAACGACTGATGTGTACACACCCGCCCTGAACTCATAGGTTTGCTTATGCTTTGCTTATACCAGTAGGTGACGGTACGTGGATTGCAGCATGGTCCCCCATGTTCGGACTGTTCCTTCCGAGGACCCAACAAATCAAGGCTTCTGCGTGCTCCGACGTCCACCACCCCACCAGTCCGGCGTCGGGTCCCGCATGGATTGTCACATCTGGCTCCAAAGATCAGTCCAACGGTGGCACGTAAATGAAGTAACTATATATATATATATTATAAAGGAACCCATATTATATATTGTATAAATAAATGTTTGTATATATATACACTATTTATATATATATATACACTATATATATATTTATTATACTTATATAGTTAATTCAATAAATAAAGATTCGATTGACACGTATTGGCCAATTATCATTGTTTCACTTGTAATGTAGAATGTTCATGAAAAGCTGTAAGTTATAACTACAATGTCATATATATAATTTTTCATTATCACCGCTTGTCCTCATATCGCCACCGGTGAAAGGCGCTCGTGGATGCCACCGTCCAGATTTCAACACTGAGACGAGGAAAACACCCCACCGTCACCACCCCATGGCCCCCCACAACCAACAAAAAGAACATGACTCCCCATCTCAACTCCAAAAAGCAAATCAATTATGCCCACCAGCAGGAGGCTGCTCTGCCCATCCACACATCATAACACTCATGCCACACCCTTTCGGCTTCGGCTCCCGATGGCATCGGTTCCTCTTCCCCAAGGCACTGCTGGATCCCATGTGGGGTTCGCCTGCACTGTTTGCCGCTGGGACCGGTTTTTGGGGGCTCGCAGGCTGGTCCGGTGATGGGCGGATGCAGGCCTTATAGGGATGCGATGCTTCAACATCTCCAATACCGGATCGAGGATGAATTGGTCATTGTTGGGTGACATCTAGCTGAAATGATTCATCTGAGTCTAAAAACGTGAGCCAGGAAGGCAGGACAGAGTGAGAATGCGATCGCATCAGCTTGATCGAATGCAACTAGCTTGAGAACAAACTATGTGGAACACCTGAGGCCTGAGGCCTGAGGATTGGATAACCCCCTTTTTGAGTTCGTTAAATGACCCCGGGTTTAGTGTAGAACTATATGTTCGATGGAGCCCGAAGTGGCGTGATGCCTCGCGTGGCGTGATGCCTCTGTGGTCATTGAACCTCCAATCCTCCCATGCCTCTTTGGCCGAACTACCAAGAGTCGCGAGTGTCGCATGGTCAACGCTGTACACTGCGTCTCCGCCTAGGCGACGAAGAGCACG